TCATTGCGTTATTTATATAGAGGCCGAGATTTTTTACAGAGGAAGAGAACGGTATCAGTATATCACTGTAATAGACAGCAGGTAGCCTTGCATCAATTTTGGACAACATTCTCAAGCTACCTACGATTATAGCTTGACACTTCGTTGGATTGACTGATATTCGAAAACGCCTAGATCGTTCTTTTACAGCTTCCAAGTTCAGATTTAACATTCTAATGGCGTCATGGTGCTCTTCAATAAATGAGTGTAAGTAAATATTGATTTCGTCAGCATACAGATGGTACGAACAGTTAAGAATATATGTGATCAAGTTTATAAAAACTGAGAAAATTAATGGAGAAAGTATACCGCCTTGCGAGACGCCAGCATCAAGACTATCCCACTTGGAACTCTTCTGTCCCAAATGTACGGACTGCTGACGCCCGCGAAGATATGAAGAGAACCAATGTTAAACTATAAAATTATGTTAAACTTTAAAAAAAATAACTACAAATACCTACAAAATAATTATTCTTTTTTTAGATTTAAAGTCAGTTTTACTTTTTTTTTTAATTTTACATATAAATAAAATTGAACAATATGTCAGTAATATTGTATATAAATAATTGAACCGACTGTGATGAAACTTTACAAACAGATCAATGCCAATACGGCTAGCATGGGCTGGGGACAAAAATATTATCCCCTGATTATATCCACAGACAAGAGATAAAATTATCTTGTCCTTATGCCAAGGCACGGCAACGGGGAGAAGTATATCCCCGTCTGACATAACGAGTAGACATGATGTATCCGCCGTTCGTAGCATGGAGCCAAATGAAAGATAAAAACTTATGCTTTTTTGACATTTGAAAGGGACAATTTTATCCTAGTTCATAGGACGTGGGTTTAAGTAGTTCATACAAAAAATCTAAGTCTATCTCCCATTTCATCTACTGTATATTATATCCACCGGTGTGCTCGTGCTGGTAGAGTGGATAAAACTAAATGGGGATAAACATTTTCTCCTTTCCCCGGGGATAAAATTGTCTCCTGCCCATGCTAGCCCCGCAGGAGTGATTTAGGATATATTTTATCCGAAAAACATTGAGAATTAAAATAAATAATGACAAATTGATAAAATAAAAAGTCTATAATTATTTGAAATCTAAATGCCGCCACATTTATAGATCCTATAGGATAGGGTGGCAAACGAGCACACAGTCCACCTGATGGTAAGTGGTTGCTGTGGCCTATAGACATCTACATCTATCTTCGTTTGCGAATCAAAATGCAGATGCGTTGTCACCCGTGAGGACTAAGATAGAAAACTGGTCTCCGGTTCTCTACACTCACCATACAAAACACAGCAGTGTTAAGCTGCTATTTTACGCTGGTAATCTGCGAGTGCGTGGTCCTACCCCGGTCGAGCCGATCCATTCGTGTTACAACTATACTACTAATATAGCTATAGAGCCATGCTCTACCACGTATTAAAATAAATAATATAAGTTCAAGATTCATCCGTGATTTTCCCATCCGGAGAGGTGATTTTTTTTTGAATTGATTGGCCACACCTGAAGCTTAACCTATTAATTAAAGGAAAAATTTGACGGGCATACATAAAAACGCGACAAGTGTAGAACCCTCTCGTTTTTGGAACTCGGTTTAAGACATTTACATAATAATGTTTATACAATGTCCACTGCTGACCATAGGTTTCCTCCAGAGATTGCCTCGTAGGGCAGATTTTGCCATAGTTGCCACGCTCGGTAGGTGGGTTGGCAACTGCAGCATTTTTAATTATTTTGATTCGTTATCAGGAAGATGCTGCTGTCCATCACCCGTTTTAGTTTCCCCCTGTCGCCTCTTTCATCACCCACGGGATGTTATGGGGTAGTGGATATTCTTACACCGCAATAATGTTTATACATATACTAACTGTTCGGATTAATTCCAGCCGCCTTTCACGTACGCACATCGCGTCAAAATTCACGACACCATCCTCACCATCTGGAAACTTGGCGGTCCACGACTTTGCGTTTTACTAGGAGTTTTCTTCCTCGTAGCATTTCTTTGTGGAAATGTTTACCACCGGCGATTTTTCCGGACCGATACGACTTAGGGACCTCCAAGAAAAGAGCTTACACCTTTCTAAAAGGCCGGCAACGCATCTGCAATTCCCCTGGTGTTGCGGTTGTTCATGGGCGGCGCTAGTCACTTACCATCGGGTGAATCGCATGCTCATTTTTTTCATCATCATCATACCTTCACAATGCCATAAAGCACGGTCCTGAGATACATGAATCTCTTACCAGATCGTGACTCCACTGGTACCGTTACGCTTCAGGTACGAGGCCACCACTCGAGAACCTTTCTTCCCCATCAGTTATCGGTTCTTCGAGCAATATAGTCATTCCATTGCCACTTGAGCTTACAATTGTAGTACTTTACATTATTTACATAACATATTACATATAATTTAAATAAAGAAAATTAATGTTACAATAAAAAAATTATATATTCATTAATTATTGTACAATAAGATCCTGTAATTTATTCACTAATGCACGTGACGAGGTGGCCGAGTGGTTAAGGCGTTGGACTGCTAATCCAATGTGCTCTGCACGCGTGGGTTCGAATCCCATCCTCGTCGTTAGTTTTTATTCAATTTATATTAGATATGTTTTTATTTATTATTTACTAAAACATAAATCAACATTTTTCATCCTGTGATATTTATAAAATAATGTTTTAAATTTGATTTCTATTTTTGAAGCATCATTAAAATGGAATTTAAACAATTTTAATGAACGCCGTCGGTGTTATCGACATTATTAAAGCTTTATGATTGCGAGCCGTACTACTAGCGGCACCGTAATCCCAGGAAACCAGAGCTCTAAAATATGTATGCCTAGTGTGTCGTGAGTAGGTCTAGTATTGGACTAGACCTAGGTTTTAAAGCCAGAACGAATATTTAAGCAATATCGCATAGCCCGTCAACAAGCCACTTCAGACAATGGGCCGGCCATATTGCTATACTCGTAGTAACAGAAACAAAAACTTTTTTATTCAATATAGATTATAAATCATACTTTTGAAAGTCACTCTTTTGTTTAATTACACTGGTTCGAAAAAAAACCTCTGTCCTGGGAAGAACCAGCAAGAAACCCAGCGGGACTTTTTTTTAAATAACAGCTTACAACAATGTAATCACAATTAACCACACAAAATAAATTAGAAATAGCTTGGAAGCGATCACCTCATTCACAGACTATGAACTATGAACCTATAATAAGAAAGGTTCTAGATTGATAGCTTCGTATTTGTAAGCAGAGTGTAGAACCTGATGAGACATGCATGAAGTCGATGGATGCTGGTGGCACAGGTCCGTACTTTTTCGCATTACTTGAGGAATCGAAGAAGAGGAAATTCGTAAAAACTCGCGTAAATATGATAAATCATTACTTGAGGTAGGCCTACTCGTATATTAAGCGGTGGACTTGTGAGCTGCGAAAGCTGCCATGATGATGATGATGATGTATTGTGCATATTATGTTCTTATTCCGTATCTCTGAAGCTGCATTCGAAACTTATCCAACCTTAATGCATAAGAATAGCTTTAACGGATATTATCGGAAGATCGGCTGACTTCTAAATAAATTATTTTCTTGCATATAGGTATTGTATAATGCTTGCTCTATCAAAATCAGTTATTAGATTTTTCTGTCAAAAAAATGTTTTACTAGTAGTTGGAAACACGTGAAGCCATTGGTCCTGTTCTGATCTCTCACTGATCGAGTCGGATTGTTGTCCCATTGGATTATGAGAGTGAGGGAATAGGGAGTGCTTGCGCACACACTCGTGCGCTTTTTACTGGAAAGGAGGCATTCTATCTTAGTCCTCACGGCTGGCAACGCATCTATGGGCCACAGCAACCACTTACCATCAGGTGGACTGTGTGCTCGTTTGTCACCCTTATTCTCTAAAAAAGTAACTTCTTTTATTCAATATAGATAATAAATAATACTTATTGAAACTCATTCTTATGTTTAATTTACCACTGGTTCGGAAAAAAACCTCTGTCCTGCGAAGAGCCAGCCAGAAAACCAGCGGGAATTTTTTTTTTTTTTGGAAAAATATAAATAACAGCCGAAATTTGGTCTGGATGACATTATGCCGTAATGTATATGATCCATTGCAGTAAATGAAATCAGAAAACTGTATTATTTTTTCAGGATAGTGTGTTGAAAACATGTTCTACTAATTTGACACGATAGAAAAAATTACAAAGGTACCTCTAAAAATTACTTTTAACGACTGAAACCATATTACACATGACTTTTTGCCAGATTATTCTACTAACTACATATTAACGTAATAGTGTTTTAATTTTTTATTCCAATCAAAAGTTTTTTTTAAATCGCATATTCTTATTTCTGAACATAATACATGTGTGCGTAAACGCCTGTGTACCGACAGTGCCGGCCGAGGCCTTTTGCTATAAAAAATTGCGTGAATGTGTGCGTGCGTCTTTCGAGGTCACTTAACTAATCTTACTGAAATTGTACAATATTGGTTATATTATTCGTAGGAATCTATAGTCGTATAGTAGCTACTTTTTTGACTCTCTTTAACAGTGGTAGAGCCACGCGGCAGCTTTTGCTGTCGCACGAATGGACCGGCTCGAACCGGGGTAGTACCACGACCTCACAGAAAACCAGCGTGAAGTAGAGGTTTACCTCTGCGTTTCGCTTGGTGAGTGCAGGTAGCCGGAGGCCCTTTTACTGGAAATGAGGCATTCCATCTTAGTCCTCACGGGTGGCAACGCATCTACATTTTGATTTGTAACAGAGGATAGATGTAGATGTCTATGGGCCGCAGCAACCACTTACCATCAGGTGGACTGTGTGCTCGTTTGTCACCCTTATCCTATAAAAAAAAGACTCAGACATTTCTGTTTCGTAATATCTTAATTATAACTGATAATTTACTTTTCTACAAATTGACTATTTTTACAGACATACGCTGCTGACATTTTCTTCGCCCAAACCTGGAAGGACTATCGATTGAGGTTGCCCGAGAACATGACATCAGAATACAGGTATCTTTTATCTTTTGTACGCGGTTTTATTTATTTTGTATGATGTGGTATTATTGAATTTATGCAAAAGCAAATAAGTGATAAGTGATAATTAATAATACAGAGAATCTTGTTATAATTAGACACGCCTTTCTTAAGGGCTTCTTTCACCTTATCACCAACAGACTGTTGGACCTCGACTGGCTGAAGCACATGTGGCGGCCGGACTCTTTCTTCAAGAACGCCAAGTCCGTCACGTTCCAGACGATGACCATCCCCAACCACTACGTGTGGCTGTACAAGGACAAGACGATCCTGTACATGGTGAAACTCACCCTCAAATTATCCTGCGCCATGAACTTCCTCATCTACCCGCACGACACGCAAGAGTGCAAGCTGCAGATGGAGAGCCGTGAGTATTATTTCTGTATCGATTATTGACTGCATCGTGAGTCTAGTGATTGTCCTCGATTGCTGATATTGAGTGAGAGAGTGATGGAATAGAGTTAAGGGGACTACAAGAATCAGAATGATTGCATGTATATTAATATGGTTTTTAATCCTTAAAATAATTTTTGGAGGTATCTTTGTGATTTTTTCTATCATATTAAATTAGTAGTATCATGTTTTCAACACACTATCTAACTAGCATATATCCTGAAAAATATCATATATTTTTCTGATTTTGTTACATATACTTTAAGGCATTATAAAACTTGCGTTTAGCTACTGTAGTCCACTTAAGGCGCAGGTTGAGCAAAATGTCGCCCTAGTAACTACAAAAACGAAACTAAACTCGGCACATCTAGTTCTCCTCGTAGATGAGTTCCAGTAGCAGTCATCAAAGTACACTTTCAAGTTACTCTATAAAGTCTGAAGGTAAGGTCTCATTATAACTAACAAAACGAGCCCAAACCCGGCACATCTAGTTCCTCGACGAGGACGTCGAGGAGTTCCAGTAGCAGTCATCAAAGTACACTTTCAAGTCACTCTATCAAGTCCGGAGCTAAAGTGTCATCATAAATAACTTATGCGGATTTTAGGAGCTATCTACTTTTTATTTAAAAGATATATCAACAAATAAAAAACACATTATATTTCTACATAATCTTGATTCCATAAGAGCTATATCCAATTTTTTTTAAAGGAATAATATCCTTACAACGAAACCACATAAATGTGAAATAATTATTGATAACATGCATCTCCTCGTAAAGTAAGTATTATTTTATTTTGCGATTTACACCAATGGATAGGCAAATTATTAATGAACATTTCTGTTATAAATTTTTTTCAAAAGACCAAAATTTTATTTTATTAAGAAATTATTTTAAAATCTGGGCGTATTCACTGCCCACCGGCTTGCTGGAGTCAGTGAGCGCTGAGCTCTTGAACGTGAAACACATGTCGTAGTCAGAGCGTCGGCCAGCGCACACGCTCACGTCATCTTATCAGTCGATAATATTATAGGTTATTTATAGGTAGTATTATTTGTTTGTTTTGGGTATAATTTTTCGTATTAGTTATACATATATCTGTTGTGTTTTTTACTGTGCGATGAAGCTTTTTGCGTGTATTTTCTTTGAAGTACATGCAAATATAAAAATTAAGCACCATTAGCATGTAAGGTTTGGTTTGAATTGGGCGTTGAATTTTGTCTATGGTTTTAATAAGGCCCAGTTGGGTAAGTCGGCCTATAGGCGACTAATTCGGCCTGGGCATCTAAGTTGGCCTATCTGCGGCATTGCGGGTTATTACTCGACTCTCTAACTAAACTGACCATTTATTTTTTAACTCAAAACGGGACATGGGTTTATTTATACTCTAAAAACTATAACTTTATACAATTAGTGTTCACTATAAAATTATATTCGGTATAGACGGTAATTATTAAATGCAACAATTTTTTTTTAATTATTACTTACATTTGTCAGTGGATTAAATTTGCTTTAATAAAGTTGGTGATGATTTTAAATAAGAATAAAATTCTGGGCAAGTTTTTTTTTTATTGTTACCTTTGTTAACAACATCGCCTTTAGAACTGGAACCGTAAGTGTTTTTTTCAGACGTCCACAATTTATTCAAAATAGAAAAATACTCTTTCTACTGGAGCATTTGTACCAGGTAGACATAAAATATATTCGATTAAAAAAATTATGTTGAAGATTGTTGACTTTGAATACTTCCATCCAACGAGTTACGAGACAATTTTGTGTCCCGGAGCTTTATTTGGGAACAACACTTTAGCTATAACCCGGCGACGGCTCCGTGGTGCAGTGGCTTAGCAATCAGTTGTTGCGCTGGGGGCCGCGGGTTCGAATCCCGCACGAAACAAGTATTTGTAAGGCCTACAAATAATTTTTCCGGGTCTGGATGTTTGTCCTTGTACAATTTATGTTTGTAAACTGCCTCCACGACTCTCATTCTATATTACTTTCACTCTGCGAAACATCCTCTTTATTTATTTATTCTTTATTGCACCAAATATTTGTACAATAGGCGAGCTATCTATCTATTTACCTATAGTGAGTAGGTATCTTTTAAACTTACAATTTTCAATGCTTCATTTTTAATAGGTATATAATTAATGATTTCTTATATTTACGCGAACACTACACATTTTTAAATAAAACTGATTTTACGGATTTTATCGCGTATATTAACTTATTTTTATATTCCCGACGTTTCGGGTGCTTTCCAGCACCCGTGGTCACGTCAAACGTCGGGAATATAAAAATAAGTTAATATACGCGATAAAATCCGTAAAATCATTTTTATTTAAAAAAGTTATATAATTAATTATAAAATTTCATAATTAGATAATTCTAATATAATGCAACTAATATACCGAATAAAAAAATTAAAATGCATTTATCGTTGTACGCTGTGTGTATTTCCATAAAATAGTTTATTGATGTTGAAAAAATACTACGTTCGTACAGTAGGTGGCGTCTTGCATATTTCTTACGCGATATATTGTAGCGAGACGGCGCGGCACACCGAATGCTCAAGGTCGTTCGCATGGAGTAGCCCCTTAAGGGTACTCCTTATTTGGCCCATCATCTAAAGGTAAAAAAGGGGTGAATATTTTAATGTAATTAGTTTGTTAAATTTAAATCTTCATCTTCATCTCTAGCAGACTCAGAAGAGTTGAATAATAAAACTTTTATTAAAAAATACAAACTGATTTAAAAACAAAAAAATAACTTTCCAATTTTTTAACGGCACCGTAGCTCTTAAACGGCTGAATCGATTTGCAGTTTTTTAGGGTTCGGTAGTTACACAATAAGGCACCCTTATGGTTTCGCCATGTCCATCCGTCCGTCTATGCATCCGTCCGCGTTTTTGTTCAGAGAACCTAGGTGCTACAAATCTGTAATTTGGCATGGTTATAGATATTAATTACGTCTAGAAAACTGTGAAATAAAATCTTAAAAAACTTTTTATTTTGGGTACTTCCCATACAAGTAAATGGAGGATATTTTTTTTACCCCTCTATTCTATTGTGTGGGGTATCGTTGGATAGGTCTTTCAGAAACATTGGAACAACATACATTTTTGATTCAGCGGACCCCTGAATCGAAAATATGGTGTAGAAGTATTATATTTGCAAAATATTTAGCTTAAAAGTGGTATTTTTCATTAGAGTCATATGACCCCCCCCCCCCCCCCCCCGCCCTACTAACTAAACCAGTGTTTTTGGAAATGTGAAAAGTATACACAATAGTAGTATAAGTTAAAAGGAAAACTGTCACAAGTAGAATTAAGAATTCAACGAGTAAAAGTCGACCAACTTATAAAACTAGCTGCATTAATAATGTTGTAATGTTATTGTAAACTTAAAAATAAACATTTTATGAAGAAAACGACATATCCATTACTACTTTTAGCTTTATTTTTTCTATTTGCGGGAATAGTACGGTATTATTAACAAAATCGAAAAGTTTTTTTAATCATTTTTGAATACCCTATAAGTCTGATTTGAAAATAAGTACTTCAGTTATCATCTTCCAATTTGGGCCCATTTTTAGTCGTTATAGCGGTCAAACTGCGAACTCACTTATTATGCTTATTATCAAGGAAGCCCGCGTATTGTGAAGAGCAACTACAAAACCCCACCTCTACATTGTGCGTGGCCCGACACGCACTCGGCCAGTTTATTTTTTTTAATTTAAAAGCAGGTTTTCTAGAGGTCGTCCTAAGACATGTTATATCAAAATCTGTTCGGCCGTTTGAAGATCATCAGCTCTTTTTGATTCGCGTTTTTTTTTTAATTTAAGTTATTTAATTTTAAGCTATACGTTTCATATTCCGTAATATACATAGCTTCTGCAGTCTTAACCAGTATAGTTACAGTCTATTTAGTCCTTAATTTTCAATTTAAGTTATTAACCGCTGACGAAAATAGATGGGTTTTATGTGTTGTATGTATGTATGTTTAACCTGTGTATCTGTGTGCGATTTTGATTTACATAATGATTTCTTATATTTACGCGAACACTACACGTTTAAATAAAACTAGTTTTACGGATTTTATCGCGTATATTAACTTATTTTATATTCCCGACGTTTATTACCGTATGAAGAAATTATCTGCAGCGTCGAGGACTGTTTATTTAAAAACGTTATGCAAAAGGAAGATTTGGAAGCGATACGTCAAGCATTTCGTGAATGGTTACGTCGAAGTTCCGTCTCCCCGTAGACTACGTCACAGGGAGGATATTTGCCATAGTTGCCACGCTTGAAACACGGATTGGATACCGCAGTTTTTTTTATTTTTTACTTGTTATTAGGTGCTCCCTGCCCATCACTTGGTTTGTTTCCTTCTGCCGCTTCTTACGACATACACGGGACGATATGGGGTAGTGGATATTCTTACACCGCCACTACAAGGTGCGAGAATAATGAGCCAGAATGACAAGAGCATTTAGTACGACTTATTGACCTTAATAATAATGTCGCCCAGATCGAATTACTGCCACGACGGCCAGACTCTACGGAGAGTAATCATCTGCGCAGGACAGGATTATAGTACCCGAGTGTTTAGGCGAACACAAGTGCACTCCCTATTCCCTCACTCTCATAGTCCAATGGGACGTTCATCCGACACGACCTGAGAGAGACCAGGGTCAGGACCAACGGATTTACGTGTTTTCCGAGGCACGGCGGTGAAAGACTGCCACTTTCCTGACTCCGGGCATCTAGTGGGAATTTCTTGACAGAGAAATCCAATAACTCATTTTGGCCAGATTCGAACCCGTCACAACCGAACGCGTTTACGACCACTTGACCAACGAAGTGGTGGAGTGTGTAGGGTACCTACGCCGTGTACGGTAAACAAACCGTGCAGGGACTTTGATCTTTCTAATTATTAGAATTAATGAAGCGTTGTTACCTTAGAATTGCTTACTC